GGGAGGCTGAGGCAGGAGGATCGCTTGAGCCCAGGAGTTTGAGGTTGCTGTGAGCTAGGATGACGCCACGGCACTCTAGCCCGGGCAACACAGTGAGACTTTGTCTCAAAAAAAAAAAAAAAAAAAAGAAAGGAACATCAATCCCTTTAATTGTTTGGTCAGTGGCATCATCCTGTATTTACTGATGTTGAACAAGTTAGGTCTTGAGAACAATCAGTTAGAGGTACATTAATAGCCATATCTATTTTCCAGGTAGTCGTTGAAAGTATTGCTGAAGAAGTCTGATTCATGTTTCAAGAGTTGTTTTTCTGTTAAGATTCCTCATTGAATCTTCTATCTTGAGAGATATTAATGTGTACCATTCCATCTAATTTGTCCCTTCTCTGAAACCATTTTAGTATACAATTTTAATTTCCTTAAGAGGAAAAATTAGTGAGTTGTTTCTGAATCATCCTTCACTAGAACAGCAAATAATTTTAAGAACCACTTCAAAGGTCTACCCAAAAATTGTATCTAAATTTTGCATGTCATATTTTTTCCTCTCTCGATTATCATTTTAACCCTGCAAAAATAATATTTTACCTTGAAAGGTCTAAACATTTCAGACTAAAGAAACAAATATTTGTATCCTGTGGGCCATGTGACATGAATCAACATGAGATGTTAAAGAACATCTCTTCCCTCTTCATTAGTATAGTGGCGAGTAAAAAAACAAAACAAACAAACAAAAAAGAATATCCCAGGGAGGAGGAGGGAGGAGGGGACGGGTATATGCATACACAAAGAGTGCAATGCGCACCACCGAAGGATGGACATATTTGAAACTCGGACTTGGGGGTGGGTAAGGGCAACATACGTAACCTAAACATCTGTACCCCCATAATATGCTGAAATAAAAAAAAAAGTAATAGTTAAAACAAAACAAAACAAAAAAAGAACATCCCAACTTGATTATCAGACCTGAATGTTACTACAGTAAAAATGGGGCTTTCTTTGTTCAATAGATGCTCATTTACTGAGGCAAAGCACCTATAACTATTCTCTTTGAGAAATGTTCTATTTCTCTCACTTAAAGCATCTCTATGGAGATCTGAGTTTTCAGACTATAAATTAGGAGGTAATTCTTGGTTAAATAAAAATATTAACCATAGGAATTATTTAGATAGTAGCATTTTTAGAGCTCTGTTTATAAATCTTTGTTTATATACAGATTTAATACAGTAAAATATAATTCACAGACATATATTGCTCCACATAGGTTATGTTGCAAAAACATAATTGCCTACTTTAAACTTTTTAAAAGGAATTTCCTATCACTTATTTGATATATATTTTCCTCATAACTTGTTGCTTTTGTTCTGGCCATTCCAGCCATGAAATCACCAGATGTCTAATATTTCAAGTCTTCTAGTTCATTTTAGAGAAGTCTTCATAATTTACCTGAATCTTAGGTTGCATTTTCTTTGTTTCTTTGTTTATGGAAACCATTTATCATGTCATCTCATTAATTTGCATCAAAAAGAAAAAGAATATAAATGATGAGAGATGAGAGTTTGTGTTATGGTAAAATATACATAGTATAAAATTTACCCTTAGTGAAATTTAGTATATTCACAATGTTGTGCAACCATCACCAATACATAATTCATACCCATTAAGCAGTTACTCCCCTTTTCTCCATCTCCCCAGCCCCTGGCAACCACCAATCTACTTTTCGTCTCTATGGATTTGCCTATTGTGGACATTTCATATAAATAGAATCCTATGATATGTGACTTTTTGTGCCTGGCTTCTTTCACTTATCATAATGTTTTTAGGTTCATTTATGTAACAGTACTTTATTCTTTTTATGACTGAATAATATTCCATGGTATGGACATACCACATTTTGTTTATCCATTTATCAGTTGACACACATTTGAGTTGCTTACACACTTTGGCTATTGTGAATAGTGCTATTTTGAACAAAAACATTATGTACATGTTTTTGTTTGAACACTTGTTCTCAATGCTGTTGAGTATATACCCAGGAGTGGAGGTGCTGGGCCATATGGTAATTGAGATGAGACATTTCTAAGTGAGATCTTACTAAATCAACAAGTAGTCCTTTTTGGGAGGTGGGGGTCATATTGTTAATTCTCGTTTGTTATGATAACAACCTTTCCAGACACTTACACCTCCCTAGGAAATATGGTATGGGAGTTTATACTAAGAGACTACAAGATGGTATTACCAACCCACACCGAATATGGGAACTAAACATTTTTTTATATAAATTGCCCCCTGATATAAAGGTGATTAAAGGTCCCCAACTTTAGCAGGTGCACTGGTATATACCTTCCGACAATGAAGGTTACAGGCAAGTAAACAAAATGTTTCTCTATAACTCTGGAGCTAGATAAACCTTAGTCAAATTATAGGTGGTTGCCTTTGGACCACTCATTAAATTTCTCTGCTATAGTTTCGCCATCTGTAAAATGGGGATAATAATCTCTGCTTCTCAAGATTGATATAAAGATAGGGAATAGCTTGGAACATAGTTGGCACTTAATAAATATTAGTTCTCTCTTCCTCATATATTCTTACACTCTTCAAATTAACTATTCTCCAAGATAATAGTATTTTTATTCTCACTTTCTCTTTCAGGTTAAAATTAAACTGCCAAATACAGACCCTTCTGATATTGAAATTGATATCCAGGAAATGTTCCTTGACCTTCGTACTCCTAATAAGTGAGTAAAACTTAGAACTGGAATAGTGTATTATAATATTAATTAGTCTTTAGTCAATATTATTTTTAAAGTATACATAGTTATTTTGCATCACCTCCTAAAGTCTGGAAAAAAGTGAAAAATTCAGTTAACCATTCATATGTTTGATCTATATTATATAAACATAAATATGTTTGAAAATACTTAAGCTTTTTTCTACTTTGCATCCATACATTTGGGGTGGGTTGATACCATCAATACACAATCCTTGACATTTAGATATAGTTTGTGTATCTGTCAGGAAAAATAGCTAGAAGTGAAGATACCTTAAGTTGTAAGTCTTGCATATTTTTTTATACATTGATTGCATAAGAGAAGCAATATTTTTAAACTTCTTGGATGTTGTGGAGCTCTAAGGTTAAATTCGATTGTGTTTCTCTAAAAATCAACAGAAAGATCTTATCATCAATTACTTAAAACAAAAATTCTAACAGCTCATTTTCATTAGATTCTCGGTCTGTGTGAACACGTTTAAAAATAATACAGAAGATCATGGAATAATTCATTTAAACATTTATATATTTTCAAGCATAGTTTTGTTGTTACATAGGTTCAAATCATGTTACCAAAATATAACACATACAGCAAAATTCTGATATAAAATGTTTCTATGGAAACATGGACAAATCAGTTCTGTCTCTCAAAACTAACTCTATAAAGAGGGAATCAATGGAATCTGGCATGTGTTAGATAAAATATCTAAATATCTCACTGCTTCTTTCATTTTTCATCTGGATATATAGCAGTGAGCACACATTGGTTGATTGTAGTGGTCTTTTCTCTGTAATTCATGAACATTTCAAACTGGGTTTGGGGAGCAGGTAGCTGCTGGCACATTCTCTTCCTTCCATTATCTGTACCTGTAATTCTCCTTTGTTGATCTTAGGGCTGTAAGAAAATAAAAAGTAGATTCTTTCTGCAAAAGATTCCTATGTGTAAACAACCCAATGTGCATGCATAGCTTAATTTTGATTTCTATAGTAGATTCATTTAACCCAAAATGGTCTACAGATGAATATATGTCAAATATTTTCTCATTATTTACATCATTTAAAAAATGTGTCCTCACAAAATAATTGTCTCATGTTATAAAGACGACATTCACTATTCCTACCATTTACTTCAAGGAGTATTGTACCCTTTTCGTTGCATTTTATGCATGCATTTACTCTTCCACGTAACCTTTGCAAAGAAAGTTGGTTAAATAAACAATCTTCCATGATATTTGCACGCTTGTTAAAAGCACACACATATTTACACACCATGGAGTTAATTTCCGTTTCTCTAGCAGTTCTCACTGTCTCCATCAATCTTTAGGCAGCTGCTGTGGCTGTGCTGTCATTCCAGATATCTATCAGAACCCACTAAATGAAAGTCTCACACAGAGGTACTTTTCCACATAGAACACAAGCTGCACTAAGCCATTTGGATCATAATGTACCTATATATTAAATGCTCAGTGCAGAGAAGTAAATTTTCTTAATTAAGATAGAAGACAGAAGATAGCATTAAGGTTTATTTATTACATTTTCTGAAATACTTGAGCATCCTTTAGAGCCATGCTATTATCTGAAATTGTATTATCAGAAATGTGTTTTATTTTTTAGTTTATTGATATTCACACCTGCTTTCTTTAGTTTCCAATTGTGGCATCCTATAACATTGTTTATTCACTCTGAGAAAGATTTAAGAGAGGATATTCTGTTCATGTATCTATAAGGCAGAACAAGTGAAGTTATTTGAACTGAATTGACCAGTGATTTCAGTCAAACAGTAATCAATTGCACTAGAATTATCAATAAAACCCAGGTATTTAGCATTATACAACCAAAAAGAAAAAAATAAAGCAATTTACTGAATTCTTTGTTTTTTTTCCAATTGGTTGTTTTGGCATGTAGATTCCCAACATGGAGTAGATGGGAGGGGGGAAAGATGGGAGAAATTGGATAATTTCCCGGAATCTTCTGACTTAAGTCTTCATATGAGGTTTCATTATTTTTCTAAGTGAATTCTAAGAATATCATAAACGAATACCTTGAATGTAATAATAAAAACACATTCTAAAGACAAATATAAGCTATTTGTGGTTGAGTACTGCTTTAAGTTATTCACACCTTTGCTGTGCTCCTTTAATTCAGATTAATTGAGAGTTGACTGACATTCAAAGACACTGATACCTAAAAAAAAAACTTTCTAAATGAAATGGTTGATTCACAGCTCAGTAGCTATTTCTGCATTTTCTTTGAAAATAGTTATGTTTCCTACAGAAAACCTTAAAAAGGACATGTCTATTTTTAACCCAGATATGTAAATCAAATAATTTCATTAACTACATAAAATAAAAACTGCATTCTGTGAATATGCACAGAACCAGGTTTTCCTTTATTTAATTCTCTTGCAAGTGACATCAACTTTCTAATATAAACATAAACATGTAAGTCTCTAAACTTGAGTTCACTGTATAAATAATTTTTTTAACTTTCATATATTATTGTTTGCATTTAAATAATTTTTAATGAAAATTAACACTGGATGAGCATTTGAGCAGTGCCTAGACTGTAACTTTTTAAAAAGCAAATACATTATCACTGTAAAGGCAGAGGTATTGGGTTTAAGTGTTTATTCATTTTTTTTTTTTTGAGACAGAGTCTCACTCTTTTGCCCGGGCTAGAGTGCCGTGGCGTCAGCCTAGCTCACAGCAACCTCAAACTCCTGGGCTCAAGCAATCCTTCTGCCTCAGCCTCCCGAGTAGCTGGGACTACAGGCATGCGCCACCATGCCCGGCTAATTTTTTCTATATATTTTTAGTTGTCCGATTAATTTCTTTCTATTTTTAGTAGAGACGGGGTCTCGCTCTTGCTCAGGCTGGTTTCGAACTCCTGAGCTCAAACAATGCACCCGCCTCGGCCTCCCAGAGAGCTAGGATTACAGGTGTGAGCCACCGCGCCCGGCCTATTCATATTTTATAGTACTAATCCATGTTAATTATTCAAATGTTATTTTGTGGTGACCTGAATACTTGCTTTTCATTCATGTATTTATTCACTCAACAACCATTTCTAAAGTCTTCTGCTAGATAACCAGGGGAACACCAAGATAAGATACAGTTCCATCCCTCGATGAATTATACATTGATAAGTATTTTTGGAATTTTTATTTTGTTTAAATATAAATCTCAATACAGATAATACAGTAAAACACATTAGACAAAAATACTTCCTTTCTCCTAACAGCTTAAATAAGTTGCATAGTTCTATTGTTCAACATTTTAGTATGTGAAGCCATACTACTCAGAACTAGACAGAAATGCAGGGATAGATGGATCATTCCAATGGCCACTAACTGTCTCTTTTGAATTTATTTCTCTCTGGACACAGAAGTGCACATTATCATTGGAACTCCTTCTTCAGCTGATTTATAGTTGTCTTTTAGTGCAATGAAACTACCATACTAAGCCTTGCTTTCTTTTTAAAGTGAATATATTATCATTTATAGAATAAGGGATAAAGTAAATCTAACTCTAGTAGAACCTATATTGTAAACAGCTTTTAAAAATGGACTTTAAATGTTTTTTGCACCCACTTTTTTTTTGAGATGCCAAATTTTACAGGCTACATTAACATACATTGCCATTTAATTACTTTGGGTGGAGGGTGCGGTTTCTCTTACCCCATCTGGAATGGAACAAGAGACACAAAAAATTTCTCCTTTAGGTTCCAGAAATGTGTAATAAATACTTTTAATGAGCCTAGTCTCCTCAACTTAGGTTTTTGCAAATGAATTAAAGAGGGAATTGATTTTCAAGGGTTTTGTTTTCAAATATGCACTAGTTCTCTATTCAAGTACCCAATAAGTGTCCCTAAAGAAAACCAGATTCCTTTACTGATTTGGATATTATACTTTCTAAAAGAGCCTTCTTCCCATCTTTTATAGAGATACTCAGACCCCCTCTACCGAGAATGTTAGGTAACAAGTGTTTCATGCATTTAATTTTCTTCCAATACCAGCATGTGCTGACCCCATGCATAATTCAGATTCATGCCACTATGACAGAATTATGGATGTCTCATCCTAGCAATGCATCTAAAGCATACAACTATCCAGCAACTGAGCCATAAACCACAAAATAAACCTAGCAATCTATCACAGAAAATTTTTGTCAATGTGTAGTAGAAAGAATCAGAAGCAAGCAGAGAGAAGCACTTTCATTGATCTGGTATTGAAATCATTCCAGGCCTGAGTTTGAAAAACTACACCTGTGGTAGAGACTCAGCTTAAAAGCTATATTAGCAGAAGTATTTTAGAACCATTCTAATTTTCAAATTTGTAACAGTCAGCCACATTCCATCTACACGTAAGAATGACTGGCCCACAAACTTCAAGTTGAGTGATTCTATTTCTATGCCTATAAACATAGTCTGAGACTGTTTCTTCTATGCAAAATGAGGTCAATTAGGAAAAAAGAGGGGATCCAAAACAATTGCTTGCATTTTTAAGGCCAAAACACTGGTATACTATTTGTGTTATTTAGGCATTTTTTTGATCAAATATTTACACTGTCTAAATATTGGGGTTTTTCAGTTTCTAACATTCTAGTGGTAGATGTTGCTTTCTACTGCCTTATTGAAAGTGATATATCACTTTAGGAATGTAATTCTAAGTTTTTATTTTGTATTTTGTGTGTGTGTGTGTGTGTGTGTGTTTTTAAGGAAGCTGTTCGTAACCCTTCCCCATCCTGTGGTATGCAGCAGTGCTCAAGCATTGTATGACCGAAGGACTGAGACTCTTGAAATCACCGCAACCATGAAAAGAGAGTTGGATCCTGTTAATTTTTTCTGAAACTGCATGAATAAGAAGAAAAAGGGGTAAAATGGCATTGTTAACAATGAAAAAAGAAAAATTCGTTTATGTTTTCTATATTCTCTTTATTATTCTGACATATTTTGGAAAGGGCAAAAATTCAATTCTAGCGATATTCTGATCATTTACAGTCATTTCTATTACTTTGTTAGGAAATATTGTTTTCTCATACATAATGAGCTATTGCATTTTTATAACGATAGCCGAACAGAATATTTACAAGTTAACCAGTTAGATTACTACATGATTGATTACATAACTGAAATATGACCATGAAATGGTTGGTCCACTTATTTCAGTAGTCTGAAGAACTTAAGCTAATTAATTATACTATTATGCAATCAGTTGCATAGCAGTTGGTCATTATTATCACCAGAAAAGTTCATTTGGTTGCCTTTTTATTGATTTATCAAATGATTTAGAATGTTCTCTGTTTAGGCTCTCACTATTGTTCTGGAATATACAGGTATCAAAGGGTTATAAATTGTTTCATGCACCATACTAGCCATGTATTTACTTGAATAAGAAATACTTTTGAGCACACAGTATTATTAGTTAGGTTAAAAATATTTTTATGTACATTAATAATTATTAACAATGCCTTTTCAGGTACTGTGTTTATATTTAGTCAATTGAAATCCTTGACATTTAAAAGGAATATAAAGAAAAGTGTGGTGCATTTATAAATCCTGTTCTCCCTCATTTCGTATCTTCTTTTTTATTTTTTTATTTCAGAATATTACAGGAGTACAAACACATATGGAAGTAACATTCGTAGGACGTTGGGCATTTCCTATCTTCTTAATTAGACATACCTACTTTTATGGATTGTGCCAATGCCCCTGCCTCTTCTATACTGTATTGCGTAAGTTTATTTCAGAATTACTTATGAATAAATTATGTTTTAAAGCTTCTGTTACTTGGCTTCACTCATTATTGTAGAACTGTGGAGTTACCTGGGAGCAAATTCTGAAAAGAGATAAGCAACTAAAAGATGTTCATCACTTCTATGTGAACCATTAAGGGAATAATTCAAGCAGATATTTTCTGGAGTTAATTATGTATATAATTACCAAGCATCTAGTGTGGGACTAGATCAAATAGAACAATAAGATGATTTTGGAAAAAAGTGGTTGGGTTAAAACACTAAGCTCTTGTAGAGAATTTGGCATTTAAATTACCACCATGACTTTCTTCTGTGGAGGCAAGAGTTGAGGGTGAGATTAACTGAAAGGAAGCTAGTGTCTGTGAGTTTAAGTCTATAATGTTACAGGACCTGAAGAGTTCCTACTTTGCTTTTTTAGCATCTTTTCAAATGGCTGTATTTTAAGAATTTGAGAATATACCCTAAAGTTTAAACTCTGGAGCAGGCGGTGCATTTGTACCCCTGTAATACTCTGAAATTTTTTTTAAAAAGTAAGTAATAAAATGTTCATAAAGAAAGTTTAAACTCTGGAGCAAGTCTAAGTAGCACCTATATTAGTCAGGGTTCTCTAAAAAGACAGGATCCATAGGATATGGATAGAGAGATATGTGAGAGGGGATTTATTAGGGGGATTGGCTCACGTGATTATGGAGGCTGAGAAGTCTTGGAACAGGCTGTCTGCAAGCTGGGGCCCTGGGATACTGGTACTGTGGCTCAGTCCAAGTCCAAAGGCCTCAGAACCAAGAAAGCAAATGGTGTAACTCTCAGTCTGAGGACAAAGGCCTGAGAATGGGGGGTGGATGAGTGGAGGGTGCTGCTGTAAGTCCTAGAGGCCAAAGACTGGGGAGCCTGGAGTTATTGTCCAAGGACAGGAGAGGAAGCGTGTCCCCCAGTTCCAGCAGATAAATCAACACTGTTTTCTCTGTTTTTGTTCTCTCGGGACCCCCAGGAGATTGGATGATGCCTGCCCACATTGAGGATGAATCTTCCCTACCTATTCCATTCAGACTCACATGCTAATCTCCTCTGGAAACACCCTCACAGACACACCTAAAAGTAATGCTTTACCAAGCCTAGGTATTCTTTAATCTAGTCAAGTTAACACCTAAAATTAACCATCACAGTAACATATGTTTTCTTTTCCAGAGAGCAACAATGAGTCAGTGGAAAATGTATCACTTTTTCCTATGTTCTGGCCCTAATTACAAAGACCGTTATTACTCAAGCTGACTGAATGTGTACAAGTTGTCCCTGGAAGAGAAGATAGAGCATATCCAGGCCAACTTGAATCGGTCTTTGGTTATGTGGTGCCGTATCAATTATATAATGAAACAGAGCTTCAAGAACAATGAAATGTGATCCAGTGATTTATACCTATCTAGAAATCATTGCACTTTACTGTCCTTGGCCTCACAAGTAACGACTACAGTGGTTATTTTGTTGCGTTGTTTTTTAAGCTAATTCACAGGGCTTTCTTCTTTTAAAGGGGAATAGTCCACTAAAGCAAATGTAGAAAAGAGCGTATAAAAGAAAATTTATCTTGTCAGCATTTGTTACTGAATCTTAGCTATTACCAGGAGAACTGGAAGTTAAGCCACAATTGTGTCATAGCATAGCCTACATATGCTTCTCTTTCATGTTTTTATTCCATAATCTCTGGTAGCTTTCGTAGGGATTCAATCATCTGTTCATTCACTCACTCATTTATATTTCAACAAATTTCCACTGAACACTCACCACATGCTTGGCACTGTGTTAGGTACTGGGGATATAGTAATGAGCAAACCAGATGTGGTCCCTGCCCTCATGAAGCACACACTGTAGCAAGGGAGACAAATAATAAACAAGTAAACACATAAATATCTGTTTTTAAGCTATAATTACTGCTATGAAGAAAAAGAATGAGTGCTTTGAGAATATCTATCAGACAACCAAACCTAGTCTGGAAAGGGAGACCAGAAAAGGTTTCCCTAAGGATTTAACATTTCAGTTGAGAAATAAAGTATACCTAAGACTTACATAAAGAGAGTATAGGGGAAAGGATAGCAATAAGGCTTCTAGGTGCAAGGGGTAGCAAATGTGAAGACCCAATATAGACAGAGCTTGGGGAGTTCAAGGAAGCGAAAGCCAGTGTGGTTAGGGGGAGTGTGACTGGAGGTAAGGTTGGAAATCCAGGCTGGAGCAATGTCATGTAGAATCTTGTAGGCTAAGGTTGGGGATTTGGATTCATTCTAAGTGCATGGGGGAAGAGAAGGTATGAGGAGATAAGAACGGAAAAGGGAGACCAGTTAGAAGGCTACTGCAATAGCCAGGCAAGTTATTATTCTACATGTCATCCTAAATAAAATTCATTGTCGATTTTTTTCTAATTAGAAAAAGTACATGCTGAGTGCTATGGTTTCAACAATGGTTTTCCCCCACCAAAACTCATGTTGAGGCTTGGTCCTCAATGTATTAGTATTAGGAGGTGGGGCCTAGTGGAAGGTGTTTGGGTCACGAAGGCAGATCCCTTATGAACAGATTAATAGTTTCGAGGGAGTGAGTTCTTACTCACTGGAATATATATATTACTGGATTACCTACTGCAAGAACCAGTTATAAAGTGAGGTTGCTCCTTGTGTTTGCTCTCTGCACAGCTCATTGGTCCTTCCACCTTTCTGCTATGAGGCGAAGCAGCATGTGGCCCTCTCCACAAGCCAAACAGATACTAGTGCCATGCTTCTATTCTTCCCAGCCTCTAGAATACTGAGCCAAATAAACCTCTTTTCTTTTTAAGTTACCCAGTCTCAAGTATTCTCTCATATCAACAGAAAACAGACTAAGACACTGACATGCTCTAAGCAGGAAACTTTAACAATAGAGAAAAGCTCTTTAAAAATAAAGCAAAACTAAAAATCACCTGTAAGTGAAAGAACCATGAATAACCACTGTTATCATTTCCAACCTTTTATTTTCAATGAATAACATAGGTATAATTTTTTTCCCAGATGGGATGATATTACACACACTGGTTTTATAATTTACTTCCTTTTAATTTTCAAGTGCATTCTTTTTTAAGTAATCTTTTTTTCCCTGAATTCTGATTTTATTGCATTGTGGTAAAAGAGTGTGATAAATGATCTATGTGTCTTTTAAAAGAATGAGTATTCTGTAATTATTGGGTACAGACTTGTATATATGTCAATTCAAGTTTTGTGTGTGTGTGTGTGTTGTTTAAATCTTCTACATTCTTGTTAAATTTTGGTCTGCTTTATCTATCAACAGAGAGATGTACTAAAATTTACCACTGATTACAGATTTGTTGCTTTCTCCTTGTAATCCTGTCAATTTTTGCTTATATATTTTGAGGCTATATTTGTATGTGCAGACAGATTTAAAATTGTTATATTTTCCTGGTATATTATTCCTTTTATCAATATAATGTGACACCCTTTATTCTTAATAATATTTGCTGTTTTAATGTATGTCTTGTTTAACATTAACATAGTTACATCAACTTTGGTTAGTATTTGCCTGGCATATTTTTTTCCATCACTTTCCATGTTTTCCATGTTTTAGATAAGACCTTTATGAACAGCATATAGCTAAATTTTGGATTTTTAAATCCAACCAAGATTCTTTCTTTAAACTCACAAGTTTAGTCCCATTTTATTGCAATTAATGATACATTTGGATTTATTTATATCATCTTATCAATTCATTTATATCATCTTATCATGAGATTTATCTCTTATTCTTCTTTTTCTACACTTTTTTCCTCCTTTCTTGCCTTTTTTCCCATTGGAAAATGGGAAATTTTTTACATTCTTTTTTTTTCTCCTATTGGTTTAGAAGTTATACATTAGGTTTCTTCTCTTTTTTTTTTTTCCTTAACTTAAATGTCTAAAGTTAGTTCTACCCACCCTTAAAACAGCTCCAGGAGGGAGGGTTAAAACAGTTTTAACCATGCCTCTCCAACTTTATTTGTATATTCCCAAATTATCCATCATTATCATTACTGTTTGTTACAGTCGGTACTTATCTAGATTTACCCACACGTTTCCCAATATCTTTG